CATCACAACCCAGTATATCGCCCACCTTCCAAATACTAGGCCAACCATTGGTTTGCTTACAAGGTAAAGTTGGCATAAAATTGATTTTTGAACAGGACCCAGGATCCTAAGAATCTAAGATCTCAGTAGGGAGAAAGTGGTGCAAAGGCTTTTGCCCATCTCAATGTTTAAATTCAGTTAAAAATCTCCAATTTGGAACACTTTAGGGTATTTCCAGGAAGCCTACGTGTGTCTCCAAGCTATTGATTAATCACAAGACTTGATTAATTTATTACAGGAGGTTTTACTTTCAAATTTCATTCTCTTTCTTTAACAATCGTCAACAGCATCTCTCACATGATCCCCCCCCCTCTCACACCCAAAATTTAGGATTGTCAATGGGTCAGGTCTTGGTGGAGATAGATTGTACCAGTCATGTCCCAATAAACTTTTATTTATTCATTTACTTATTTTATTAAATCAAATAAATTGTTATCTATTTAAATTTACATATTTAGTTTACTAAATTATTCATTTATTTAGAAATAATTTACTAATAAATTATTATTAGGCCAATATTTAGGGCTACCAATGGGTTGGGTCTAGTCCAGGATAGCCTATACCAATTTTGTCCCAATAAACTTTTATTTATTCATTTATTTTACTAAATTAAATAAATTATTATCTATAAAACTTTATTTGTTTAATTTGTTAAATTATTTATTATTTAGAAATAAATACTATTTATGATCATGCCAATACATAAAAAAAAATGAAAAGTCATCTCATTCTTCTCTTTGACCCAATAAACTTTTTTATTCATTTATTTATTTTTGTTAAATTAAATAAATTATTATCTAGAAATTTTTATTTATTCAATTTACTAAATTTTTTATTATTTAGAAATAAATACTATTTATGATCATGCCAATACATAAAAAAAAATGAAAAGTCATCTCATTCTTCTCTTTGACCCAATAAACTTTTTTATTCATTTATTTATTTTTGTTAAATTAAATAAATTATTATCTAGAAATTTTTATTTATTCAATTTACTAAATTTTTTATTTATTTAGAAATAATTTTACTAACAAATTATTATTAGCCTAATATTTAGGGTTGTCAATGGGTTAGGTCTGGTTCTAGATAGCTTGTACTARTCCTGTCCCAATAAACTTTTATTTATTCATTTATTTATTTTATTAAATTAAATAAATTATTATATATAAAATTTGATTTATTTAATTTACTAAATTATTTATTTATTTAGAAATAAATTCTTAACAAATTATTATTACTAGCAAAAAGTAGACCTAAATTATTCCTGATTAATACTCCCCCCCCCAAAGCCCAACATTTAGAGCTATCAATAGGTCAGGTCAGGTTCATGATAGCTTGTACCAATCCCATTCTAATAATAAATAAAACTTATTTATTTATTTATTTTGTTAAATTAAATTATTTATTTATTTATTTATATGTTCTATTCTCTTTCCCCCTTAGCCTAATATTTAAGGTTGTCAAAGGGTTAGGTCTAGTTCAGGATAGCTTGTACCAGTCCTATCCCAATAAAGTTTTATTTATTTATTTATTTTATTAAATTAAAATAAATTTTATTTATAAACTCTTATTTATTCAATTTACTAAATTATTTATTTATTTAGAAATAATTTACTAACAAAATTAAACCAAGAACCATCCCAATTAATACTCTCTTTTTTCTCAATACCTTTTCTCTCTCCTCAAGCCCAACATTTAGGGCTATCAACGAGTTGACAAATTCTTATTTGTCAAATGTCAATACCCTTTGTTATAGTGCCATTTATTGATTATTTTCTGATTTTCTCAAAAAAAAAATTATTTTTATATAATAAAAATGAAAATCTTAGAATTTATACGTGACAAGCTTGGCATTAATTAATGTTGGCAATGAAATGACTATAAGAAGAAAATAATGTTTTGCTAATTTCCAAGAGAAAGGGGATGATGGTGGACAATTGTTAGGAATGGCAATGGGGCGGGGAGCCACTCGATATCCCTATATAAGGTTATCCCTATCCTCGTCCCACAGGGATCCACAGTCCCCCATGATTTTTCTATGATGTTAATCATTTTTTTTTTGTTTTTTCATTTAAAATATTAAAATAAAATAGTTAAATATCCTATTAAATAAGATCCAAATATATTCAAACATATTCAACCATACTTTTAAAAATATCAATATATATAAATATATAGATACATATATACATATATACCATGGTATATACATAAATACCCAAGAATTGGTCAGGCAACTGGTTTTGTTTTTCCCTAAAATTGCTCTTGGGCCAAAAACTGTTGATTTGGTCAACAAACCATTGGCCCGGGCAATCAAATTATTGACCCGAACAATAATTATTGATTCAAACCGGACGGTCAAACTATTCAACCCGGAAGTCGGTCCCCAAAATGGTTTCATGTCCAATCTGATTTTTAAAACCTTGAAATATCATATATAAGCAAGGATCCCACGGGGCGGGGGATCAAGGGCCCTAGAGAAAATTGCCATCTCTAATAATCATTGCTATATTGTTAATTTCTTAGAGAAACAACATTTTTATTTTCTTATTGTATATATATTATTATTCCTATTTATTTTCAACTAACCCATTTGTACCTTTATAGCTGCCAAGAGAAAACTCTAAAGTAAAAGACAAAATTGATTACCTGACTAACAAAAGTGATTATCTATTCTCTAGATTTTTTTTGTATATTATTTATATTTATTAATTAGAACAATTATCATATAATCAATTATTTTTCAAATAACCTTTGTATATAAGAGTCATGAAAAAAATCTAATTTTTCATAATATAATTCTTTTCTTTATTTTATTTTTAGAAATTCTTTTTTGTATTAAAGGGGAGCAAATGGTGTTTTAAGAAATTATATAAGAGTCATGAAAAAAAATCTTTGTATTAAAGTAGATCAACAGGTGTTTTGTATGTAAAAATTAAAGGGGAGCAAATGGTTCATGTAATCATGTTAATGTTTTTATTGGGCGGTGGCAGATTTTGTAACAACCATGATGGTGACAAACAAAACCGTTTTCGTTGATGATAATTCTTGAAACAGGTCCCGTCCTTTTCATGCAACGGAAAAGTTAAAATAGAGGTTGCCGTTTTCGCTCGTGTCTTGAGAGGACCTCCGACCTCGCATTCCATTACGGTATAATCGTAAGTCGTAACACAACAATTCACCCTGACCTTTGTAATAAATTCAACACATTACGATTGCATCAATTGATTTTTTTTGGGGAGAAGTACCAATCAGCCCAGATCAAAATTTACTAGGCCTAAAGTACAAGGAAAATGCATCCTGACCGTGAATTGATGTCAAATTTATCGACGGGATGTGGTTTATAAGGGGGAGAGGATTAGTTGTAGAGGGGTTGAAATTCAGAATTCTACATCGTGTGTTTCCGTACTTTTCTCTTTTTTTTTTCCTCTTTCACAAACGTACGGTGGCGTGTTCGGACCATGATGTGATTACGTAGCCCGTTGTACACACGGTGCGAGCACGGAGAAGCAGATCCGGGTTGGCTTGAACACTATATTGTAAACGAACAGCAAAAAAAGAAAGTTGTACCATAGAGGTTCACATAATTCCTGTGTAAAGTTCTGTACGTAGTGTACGAGAGTAGTTCTTCACCATCGGCCCAACCCTTAATAAATGGGGTTTGTTATTTTTGTGGGGTTTATAACTTTATATTTCTATGAAAAAAAAAAAAAAACGACAGAAAGATTCTAATCTTCCTTTTTCCTGATCCGGTCTGACCGTCTTCCTGCCCGACCCCAGTTTAATTAGTAGGGCCCATTGCCTCCTCATGAACCGTAGTGATGAAAAGTGCCTAGTAAGTAGTAATTGGCGCATACAAAGTTGGTGGAACCGCGGACGTTGAGATATGGAATAGAGTTAATTAAGCCCTAATAAGCGTCTTCATATGTGCATGACCAGATCGATTAATTGCCTATATAATGAGTCAAGTGTACTAGAAGATAACTCCAAGCTTGCTCCTCCTCTGGAGTCTGGACCCCTCTCTCTCTCTCCCTCTAGCTTTCTTCTCTCTCTCTCTCTCTCTCTCTCCCGTGCTCTTCCGGTCCTCTTTCTCCCAACTTCTAATCGTCCCATGGATCTCTTCGCTACGGTACTCTGTCTAATCGCCCTTTTCTATCCTTTGTTCCTGCTCTGGAGGTTGATTGATCAATGGAGAGGCCAAGCCTGCTACATAATTGATTATGAATGTTTTAAGCCTTCTGATGATAGGAAACTGAGCACCGAGTTTTGCGGCAAGCTCATCCATAATAACAAGTACCTGGGCTTGGAGGATTTCAAGTTTCTGTTAAGGGCCATTGTTAGCTCAGGCATTGGTGAAGAGACCTACGGGCCGAGAAATGTCCTTGAAGGCCGAGCAGAAAACCCTACCCTTATGGATGGGATCTTGGAGATGGAAGAATTCTTCTTTGACACCCTCGACAAGCTCTTCTCTAAGACGGGAGTTTCTCCGTCGGAGATTGACATACTTGTCGTCAACGTCTCCATGCTTGCTACGGAGCCTGATCTAGCAGCAAGGATTATCAACCACTACAAGATGAGAGAGGATGTTAAGGTCTATAACATATCCGGAATGGGATGTAGCGCGAGTCTCATCTCCATCAATCTGGTCCAAAGCATCTTCAAGGCGCACAAGAAAGCATTCGCTGTGGTTGTGACGTCGGAGGCTATCGGCCCCCATTGGTACAGCGGTAACGACAGGTCCATGCTTCTTACCAATTGCTTGTTTCGATCGGGCGGCTGTTCAATACTCCTATCGAACAATCCCAGTCTAAGACATCGAGCCATGTTTCGACTGAAGTGCCTAGTGAGAACGCATCTCGGTTCCAACGACGAAGCCTACGGATGTGCAATTCAGAAGGAAGATGCCGCGGGTAGACCAGGGTTTCACCTTGGCAAGAACCTTCCCAAATCTGCCACTCGTGCCTTCGTCGAGAACCTCAGAGTATTAGCACCCAAGGTGCTACCGCTAAGGGAGCTGCTTCGATATGTTATGGTAACACGCCTCCTTCCTCGGCCCAAAAAGGACAACGCGTCCGCCGGCAAGAGCGGCGGTGTCAAAGCAGGAGTGAATTTCAAGACTGGGATCGAACATTTTTGCCTTCACACCGGCGGAAAGGCGGTTATCGACGGGGTGGGAAAGAGTTTGGGGCTGACGGAGTACGACTTGGAGCCAGCAAGGATGACACTTCATCGATTTGGTAACACATCTGCCAGCAGCCTATGGTATGTCTTGGCATACATGGAGGCCAAGAAGAGGTTGAGAAGAGGTGACAGGGTGATGATGATCAGCTTCGGGGGAGGTTTCAAGTGCAACAGCTGCCTTTTGGAGGTTGTTAGGGATTTAGAGGATGATAACGTGTGGAAGGATTTTATTGCTAATTACCCTCCAAAAACCCTAGTCAGTCCGTTCATAAGCGAGTATGGGTGGATTAACAATGAGACGGAGGAGACGTTTGAAAAAGCGGTGGATAGCTACAAGCAAAAGTATGGGTTAGAGTAGCTAGCTAGCTCAGCTACTGCACTGCCCTCTTTTGCCTACTCCATCGCATCATCCACTCAGACTCAACTCTCTTAGTATTATTTTCCTACACCATTTTTAATGCTCACCTGTTGTTTCGTACGTGTGTTAGATGATGGCCGTGCTTACGAATTTATGGTGGTTGTCGAAGGACAGCCATGAATTTGTTGTGTTATTGAATTGGGTCCATATTGTTTGGTGTATTATAAGCTACTTTGCTGCTTCTTTATTTCTTCCAACAACCTAACGCAACAGCACCCCAGAGACCGGAGACAATCATACCGCCGGAGGAGCAGCGGCCGGGGAAGGAGTGTTTTCATTTCAAAGGCTTTCATTGAATTTACTATGGGATCGATATTATTATATATAAATGTTTTTTTTTTTTTTGCTTTCGAATTCGATTTCCCTATTAATTATATGTTTATTAGCTTGTAATTTTTGATGTATAGTTGTAATTTACATTACCATGCATACATATATTATATAGTTATTGTCAGCAACTCTTTTTGGTTTTTGTTTGATTTTTTTTCTCACTTTTCATGGCATTGGATAAGTTCAAGCCGGTCACCGGAATGTCAATGGACGAGATAACGAGAGGTAAGTAACTGACGACAAATATAATTGACACCCAAGGCAAGGAATCAATGTTTATTGATTTCGTGTACCTCACCATGCATTTAATGCGCCGAGGGGTGAAGTCTGGCATTTTTATTTTATATTTTTATACAAGGCAATAGAGATGGTATAAGGTCACGGGTTATTACTAATATTACCTCCTCAGTCTTGATTTCTGTTCTTTTTTTTTCTTCTCCTTTTATTCACATTCTTCTTCTGACTGCCTTTGTTCATATTGTTCTGTGATGACATTGTTGGGAAGCAAGTCAGTTGTCGGTTAATTGTTACTTCTGAATTAGGGATTGGACGATGGAATGGAGATGGGGTTCCCAATTTAGGGCTTTCTGCTACCTTTGTTCTCTCGGTGCAGGAGGGGTCAAGATGATATGCATTAATTTCAACAAATTAAGAACCTCCACAGACTCCTCATTTATTTTTTCTGATGCGTCACAGACTCCTACTGGAACAAGCTATTCTGGCTTATTCCATTTCGTGTGGTACTTCAGGCTTTTTCTTAAAAAAGTTTGGAATATCAAAATTCGGTTTTTGTCTGTGAAACAACGAAAGCAGAAAGCCATTAAGACCTATGTCAGCTCATGGAAATATGAAATGGCCAAAAATTTGGAAGCTTCAAATTTTTGCACTCAAAATTTTTCATTTAGATAAACTAAAAAGCTTACCAAACAGTCTAAATCTTCAATGACAAAATCCCAAAAGTTCAGTACATCTCTTAGTCATCTGAACTATAGAAAGATCTTCTAAAAAATACTTACCAAATAGCACCTAGATAATTTTACCCAATAAATTAAAGCAAGAATCATGCATGGATTCCACTAAAAGAAAAACCTTTGAAATTAAAAAAAAAGGACAAAATAAAAGATGGTTTAATTGAATGAGTATATATTCAACTGAGAAAATCCTGATTAATTTATGGTGAAATTAATGGTTTCATACGTGTTTGCATCTGATTTAGTTTTAAAGAATTACCGTCAGGTTGATTTTAATTTTGTCTTTGATTGACTAAATGCCCCTGAAACTCCACCCCGATTCTTTTCAGCTTCATACAAAGGTTGAATGACGAAAGAAGACCAGATACACATATCCCCTAATAATTCATCCACTCAACTCAGCCTTAACTCACCTATTTGGGATCGAGTACATAAAATCATAAATCTAGTCTGACCACCATTCTCCCCGTAAAGGGCCATTCGCTGCATTTATCATTTTTTTATTTTAAGGATTTATCTTCTTTTTACAGTAAAAAACTAGGTTTTCATAAAGATATTTTAACTGCAAATCTCTTAAAATAAAAAATGCCAAATGCAGCCTTAGGCTTCAAACTATAATTTTCAATAATTAAATGAAGCTTTCAGATGAAATCGGGGTAGTTCTCCTTTTAGAAAAGATGAGAAGATAAGAATTTACCATGCACATGGAGCCTCTACGTACCCAAATGGAACAATGAATCATGAATTGGTTATTTTCTAACATCATAATCTCTAATTAATACCCCAGGAGGATTGCTCCTTTCCACCCACTCTTCCTCGGAGCCTTGACTTTGACAACAACATGCATTATGTCATGGTTTTTAAAATCGGACCGGATGGTTGAATTGGAAAATCGGGAATCGGTCATTTGATATTTTGATCGATTCTATTTTACTCAAAACTGTTTTTTGGCCAAAAATTATTTATTTAGTATCATTGATTTAAGCAGTCAAACCGTTGACTTAGATAATGATTTTTGGTCGTTTTTTATTTTTTAAATTTTTTATTTTTTTCTACTAAAATAGACCATCTATTCGAATCAGACGGTCGGACCGCTCAAACCAGGAACCAGACCTAGAATGGTTTCCTGTCTGGTCCAGTTTAAAAACTTGCATTACGTTTCTTTGGAATTTAGACCGAGTACCAATGGGTGATATGTCATACCCTAAGGGCATTTTGGTCATTGTACATTTAAACAATACATTTTTTTCAAACTTACTTTATCTATATTGGCCTTTGTGTCCATTCCGTATAAGAGCCTTTGTCAGCTAGCGGGTTTCTTCTTCATGCGCAGAATGTCAGGTTTGGTGAATGAATATAAATTCATCTGCAATATAATTTTCACCTTCGTCACCTTCTCTGTGTTCTTTGTTACGATGATTCTCTTAAGAATGAGTTAGAATCTGCTGATAGCAATACATTTCCGGTCATATTCATTTCACCAATAATATTAAGAATACCAGTGATACAAATTAAGTACAAGAGATATTTCTAATGTGTGATTAGGTGAATATTGCCAACAATGTATTGTGGTCACTGATCAAACAGATTAAGACTTCTTTCAAAGAATTCACATTTGCGTCCCATAATATATCCCAACCATGTATTGAGAACATTTTCTACTAATTACTTTGAAAAATATTCCTAATACATGCTGAGATATGCATGTAGGGCGCCGTAGATGTGATGTCCCTTTCTAATATGTACTTATTGTTAAGTTGTTTGACCGGCTCTATTTTTATTTAGGTGACATGGAATTAAGATTTCTTTCTCACAAAACTGGTCCTGACAGCCCTTGCACGGCACATTAGAAACATCTTCGTATTTCCAATGCATGGCTGCAATGACTGGAAAATATCATTTATTAAATAGTTGCCTTTACCCATATGTCTCAAATGTGGTATATATCCCAGCCCAAAATATTTCTCTCATTCATCGATAGTTTTGTAATAAAGCCATACATGGCTTGTGAAGGTGTTTGATGCCCAAATATGAGGTTTCCTTTGTTACAATGCATTGGTTGAATTTTGAATGGCTTTAAAAAGAGAGACATGAATAAAGTGGAATGACATGAAATTAAACAAGTAAATACTAAAGCCATGTTTGGTTCATTGTTTTTGGCCTCATTCATTTAGGTTCTGTTTGGATAGACTTTTATAAAGTACTTTCATACTTTTGAAAGTATCAAAGTATGAAAAGTCTGATATAGCATTTCTATTATATACTTTGTGCTTATACTTTTATATTTTTTAAAAGTGCAAAAACCCCCAAAAGCACAAAATTGGCATTTTATACTTCGTGCTTTTGGGGAAATAGTGCTTTTGTTTTTGTGCGAACGGGTAGTCACATGTGATTCTAATACAACTCTCGACCCTACCTCCGTTTGCCGCTGTTGGAGTTACACCGCCTTGCCGATCTCAACCACCAAACCACCGGATGTACGGACAACATGCTTTTACCAAATAGGAAATGGTTCTTTTGTTCCGGAAAGCATACTTTACAATTTTTTTTTACCCAAACGGTTTTCAAACAAAAAACACCAAAGTAAAAACATTTTTTGTACTTTATACTTTGGTATTATTAAAAGTCCAAAAGTAGAAATCTAACCAAACAACGCCTTAATTTTTGCTCATTCTAGGCAAGAATGGGAAGAATAAATAACACTAGAGTATTTTGTTACAAAATTCTTGCCATGGGCCACATTCTTTTTAGAATGAAAAATCAGCCCCATAGCACAAAAACTGAGTAGCCTTCGGCATGAAAAATAATCATGCCCCATCTTGTTCATTTTCATTCTTTGAGGAAACTCTGCCTACAAAGATGTTGCCATAGATGTTAAACTTTTGCGAAAGCACATTTACAAAAGTTCTTTTACGAAAGCACTTTTGTAAAAGTACTTTTACATGAAAGCACTTTTATAAAAGTACTTTTACATGAAAGCAGTTTTATGAAAGCACCTTTACTAAAGCACTTTTGGCCGTGTTTGGTTCAACTCTCATTCTTTCTTACCCAAGATGAAATTCTAAAATAGAAAAGAATGGGTAAAAATAGGCAAAATGAGAAAATATTGCTATGAACCAAACACTTTTTTCCTAAAAATGAGTTCTTTTTAGACTAAATAGTGTCCTATGTTGCTCATTTTCATTCTTCAAAAAAAAAAAAAAAAAAGAAATAGAAATTGTGTCGGTATTCACAAACCGCCAGCCTAGGTCTCCAATAGTCAATGTTTACTAATTGGCATAGATGTTTTATAAAAGTACTTTTGTAAAAGTGTTTTCATAAAAGTACGTTCTTAAAAGTGCTTTTGTACTTTTGTAAAAGTGCTTTCAAAAAAGTACTTTCGTAAAAATACTTTCATAAAAGTATTTTCGTAAAAGTGCTTTTGTAAAAGTGATTTCGTAAAAGTACTTTTACTTTCATAAAAGTATTTTTATAAATGTACCTTCGAAAAAGTAATTTTATAAAAATGCTTTCATAAAAGTACTTCCATAAAAATACTTTCGTAAAAGTGCTTTTATAAAAGTACTTTCGTAAAAGTATTTTTATAAAAGTGTGTTCATAAAAATAAACATTTATGACAATGATTTTATAAAAATACTTTTATAAAATACTTTTACAAAATATATGCCAACTGATAAACATTTACTGTTGGAGATCTAGACTGGTGGTTTATAAATACTGACACAATTTTTTCCATAAAATGAATCCTTATAACATTGCCCAAGTTTCTTTTCTGGACGAATCTGAAATCTCTTTGGAGTACTTTTTTTTCGTTGCACATTATTTCCGTTCAATTTGCGACAGATGTTTCATCACATGATGTGTATTCTGATTGGGTATTAATACATGTATAGGGGGGACATCTGTCACTAACCCATTAAAAATGTAGGAAAATTTTGAGGAAAAAAGTGTAGGACATTTAAATGTGGACAGCGCCATGGTTGTATGAGCGAACTAACGTGTCCTATGAAAGAGGCTGTACATAATACAGGTTGTGAAACGTGGGTAGCTAAAATTTCAGGCGGCATGATCTGGCCCGGCCGGCCCGCAAAT